GAACCCGACAGAAATGCGCTCAGACAGGAGTACCCGGGACTCACCAGACATCCAATCGACAGGGATACACGTCGTCTGCAGTAGAGAGGGATCCCATTTCCACTGGAGGTCGCATTGGTGCACCAACTGCAGAGTACGCCGTCGGTACGAGCCAAACGGATGATGATGATGGTGAAGCTGAAGACGGCGAGGATCCAGGTGGCGAAGGATTGACAAGTTTTGCTCCCGGACGTAATCGAACAACTCACAGCGGGTCAGATGAACCTGAGGTCACAGTTGCTCCTAGTGGTCTGCTTCAGTCGCATCGCGTGTCATCCACAATGCAGCGAGAGGTGGCACATCAAGAAATAGAGTCTAGTGATGTAGCAGCTGCCCTCAATCGACTTCAGAGTAAGTTATCGTGGCCTGCCACGACCCCATATTCTAAAGTTTACGCCCGCACGCTTTGCTGTGTAAATGAAGATTGAGAACATTTATGACTTACCATATTTCTTTTGGTTTAAGTAGCCATGTTATTTGTAACTGACAATCTTGTGAGCGGGTTCACATGGTTTATATCAGTTCCAGTTTGAACAAGCACTAACCAAGCAATTTTGTGCGCCTATTTTGGTTGCTTTCTTTTCTCTGCCCATGAGAAAGACGGGAAGGTCGAAAGTAGAACACAATTCCCGTTTTAAAAAAATGTAGTTGAGAAACTGCAAAACCGATTTTTTTGGTGTGAATGCTGTACATTTGAACGTCAATAAACATCAGTCTGGTTGACAACCGTGCCCGCATAGGTGATTTTCCCATTAAAAGCAAAATTTCTGTGGTTACCGTTTGTTTCTAGAAGAAAGACAGAACATTTACTATCGTAATGTCAGAATTCGTTTCTGGTTAGAGCACGAGAGAATCATTGAACTTAGATAGAGATCATTATTCTGCTTCTGTACACATGCGTAATGCAGGTTCGGTGATCAATAACGGATTTTCAAGAAATATGGGGACTAATATCGCTGTCTCCACGCCAAATCCAACTGTATCTATCAATTCAAGTGCACTGCCAGGACGAAGAAACAACTGCTTTTTGGAGTAACTAAACACATTTCGATCTGGCTTCAGGAAACAATGAGTGAAAAAATTGGGAGTATGACGTCACCAGTGGCATCTAGAAAACTCAGTTTACCTGTTGCTCAACATCTTACTCCATCCTGGTGAGCGATGCATTCAGAATCCTATAACACAAATAACACAATGGTTCTCAAATACGGCGAAGCACCAGCATTCAAAATTACCATCCCGAAGAGTATAAACAGCGTGAATGACCTATCACTGAAATATTACCATTGTATCATGTGTTTCATGAGTGATGTTGGTCACAATCTTTCTCAACCTAAGATTTTGTAGTTCATGACCATATATCTATTATTGCATAAACTGCAGTACGCACGGGTGCAGATGTACCGAAACGGTCCGGGATACATTGTGCAAGCCTACATTTTAATTCTCTGTTCAAAATCGTTACTGCGCTTCCAGTTATTCGATTGCTGACTTTGTGTCAGAGCGTTCCATGGTTTTATCACCGTATATGAAATGACTGAATTGGCTTTTTGAAAATGTTTTCAAACTTTTGCCAACTGTATCCAGAAATTGAATACTTTGATGCCTCTGAGTAGCTAGTTTAGTTAGTCTATTGTGGTTAAAACAATGAAGGTAAACCGCTGGGATCCTATTCCTCACCCACGATTTTCGCCAATCAAAGTTGCCTTCAAGCATTTAAAATTGGCATTCAATCAATGTCGTCGAGGGATATATCCCCATCTAACGGATTTCGTGGAAACTAACAGAGTTCATCCGGAACATCCAGAATTTACCATTACTTTTAAAAATTTCTATCTGCCCTGTAAAAGTACTCCTAAAAACTTGAAACTTGTATCTATCACAATACTGTTGACAAACGTAAGATACCTTGAAGGGTGGAGAAAAAATTATTCCCAGCGAATGGTAATCTTCACTTTATGCACGTAGCGATTCTCCCCTCAAAACGTCATAGTATACGTAGCTAGGCAACTAATGTAACTTACTTCACAATGATTTGGGCGATTATTCTATCTTAATCTTTATGAAAATAAAGTAATTGTTTTCAATTCCTCCAGCTCAAATGTGCCTTGAAGTTTCCGTTTCGTTGGCAGTTATTAATGGTTCCATAAATCAAACTGCATCACGCGGTAGTTAGTGCGTAAATGGCGGTGAGCAATCTTAATTATAATGACTGAATTGGTGAGTTACAAATTTACCTAGGTGTTCAAATGATTTATTTAAACTTCTTGCCGTGTATTCGTGTGTCAAGTGCCTTCCAAAACCAGAAATTTGTAGGCAGTTGCACCTAGTATAAAACAAGTGGTTAATTTCGAAGGAAAACAGCTCTTGGAATTTCATACAAGATAAATGAAAAAAGACCGAAAGACTGCCGGTTGGTTACACCTACAAAATAGCTCCCACACTTTTATTTACATCAGAGTGATCCAGACCGTATGTTTATCTCCGTATACACACAGGTACGCCGGTTATAAATAAAGTCTGTTCGCCTGTGGCTTTTTAGACCGACAAACCCTTTTAGGATCGGAAATAGTAAATAGCGGTTCGGTTCTTTTTTTACGCTTCCTGTTCATTACTGAGGGCCTTGTTGGCATCTGCCCATGCAGCAGCCCGTGTCGGCATAGTGATCGTTTTATGGATCCATTTCTTGGTGCGGCTCCTTTTCTTTACTTGGCCGAGTGATGCCAATTGTTAGGTTCGTTTATTCTAGTTCAAACCTCACTCGATCAACGACTGCAGACTGACATACTCAAAAAACGAAAACGTATAACACCGATCGGACTATAAATCCTCCGTTCTCGCTCGGTAACTCACGCGTAGATAGTCGCTCATGGAGCAATCGCTGCATTGCGCATAATCTTGGATTGCGATAGACGTGATCCGATGTATGACGTGTGACAGTGAAGGTGCCGATCGTGTTGTGGGAATGGTGCAATTGGCTTCATTGAGAACAGGTTCGCGGCCTACGGAATACATGTGGAATTTCGTCTCAAAGATCAAAACCATCGAACATGCTCTCGATGGTTTGAGTTGAAGTCACGTCAACTAGTGTAACAGTTTATCCGGTCAACGCTTAATTATCTTGTACAGAAAAGTCACTTATCTTTCGGATGCATACGCGACAGGACATGCAAAATTCAGAGGAGAGGAAAATAAAGGTAAAGATTACGAAGAATACAATGAGCGGAAATCGGTAGGAAGCATTCTAATCTGAAGGGGAGGGTTGATTACAGGTACGTTCCAGATAACTGATCAAATGAGCGATTTACGAGCTAATGAACGTTGCTCCCAAGACTGCTATGGGGCCGCGATTCGAATCCGTTGACGGATATCTGACATATCGATCGTCATTGTAAACTGTGGCATGATGGCTAGAGTGGTATCGTTAGCGAAGACATGGGCACGATTGGAATTCCTGATGTAACATTCGTTTGGCAGTATATTGCCGCTAAACCCGTATTGGTTATCGGTTATGAGTGCATAGCGTTCCTTTTGCGATGTTAGTCCTTTCGCAATAACGGTTCCCCTAGAAATAAAGAAAAATGGAAAAGGTGGGTATAGCGATAGTTGTTTCACTTTGGTTTATACAACCATTAACCTGACTCTTTCGTGCGCCGGTTTTGGTTTCTGTCTTTGAGCTGCCCATGTGAATGGAAAGAAGAATGTTGGAATAAAGTCGGAGAGAAACTGGGGAATTTCAGTAGACTAAGGTTGAAGAGAAATTGAGAAGATGCACGGACGCCACTATTTACGACAATTGTTTACACGGGACACTGAGTAAACGGATACAACCCTCGATTGAATAAGTAGCGTACACCTCCGCACAAGTGTTTGGGATTCCATCCGGATCAGTTGGTTTCAATGTGACTATGCCGAACATCCATGGTTGACAATTCCCAACAATGATGATGGTCGGTGGTAATCAAATCGTCAAAGCATCTGAACAGCGGCCTCGAGTTTGAACTTCTGATTAACCGCAGCTCCATTTCTGTAAGTTGATTGTACATTTATATATTCATTGAATGAAAACGGAGCAAAAAAGTTGTCATTATAAAATACCTCTGCAGATCTCCTAAGCCTTTTTGGTGGTGCTTGTGTTTGATACGTTAAAGCGCAACTAAATGATTTTTCAATCGTTTTGATCTTCTGCCTTGCAAATAACGGATTAGAAAAACTCTCTGCTGTTTTACAGCAAATGCTTTAACCTTCCATCGCCCCAGTTTGTTTCCAAACCGAATAGTACACACGAAAGGGAACAAAACCGATAGATAATTCTTTTTACTCTCGGACAAATCATTCGATTAGTCTTCAGCAGCCATTCCTGATGTTCAGAGAGTGATAAAAATCCTTTACTTGCGTACCCAAAGTTCCACCTAACAGCTTCAGTTGGAAGAAAGCGTATT